GACACAAGCAGTCAATATATAGCTGTATGCTTTTTGACAGGGAGGTCGGTATTTATTGTTGCGATAAGAAGAGGGATAGCATTTTAAAGTGACTACTTTTGAAAGGTAGCCCTCAGATTTGTAGGAGTAGTGTAATATTTTTATTTAAAGATTAAAGAAGTTCATGTGGTATGGGACAATATCAAATGCAGAGTTTAGATGCTATTGATGCCAAGTATCAGGTAGGCAGACTGGAGAGCTGGGTGATGTAGTTGTGATGTCCAGGTGATATATGTCACATGGATTTATCAGTAAAAAAGTATTTATTGATTAGCAATATTCTATGAGAGACAGAATGAATGAGGGGCCAGTCAGACAGCTAGCCCAACAAAATTAAATATGAAGTGTGATTTGCCTTATCATGTTTTGAAGTAAGTCTCAGTAAAATGAATCTGTGTTGTGACTTGTAATGGAAAGCCATACAGCAATGTTGATACCAAGGGCTCTTTTGTCACACCATATTTTGTACTGACTTGCTAAAAGGCATCTCAAACTCCCCTCCCCTACTTCCCTAGCCCCACATTCTTCAAAAGAATCATATGGAATGATTTGGAGTCTGACTGGGATGATTATGTGGCCATTACAAACATTCAACCTTTTCCTTTTCACATTGTTGAATTTCTATTCATTTACATCTAGATCAGGATACGAAGCTGTGCAGTAGTGGTGATGACTGTGTACAGTTTGGTGTCCAGCAGCTGGCTGGTGATACTGCGGCAGCAATGCTTACTTTTCTCTGAAAACAAAAGTAAGCTGTTTTATATACACCTCTTTTTTATAAGTTGCCTAGCTAAAATTACTTGCCTCTATTTCTTGACTTTCTGTCTTACCAAATCTCTTGGGCAAATGTGGTAAGCTCACAGAATGAATTAGCAAGTTTGGGCGAAACAAGGAGTATCAGAGGCGATCAGAAAGCTGTCAGTTTGGAAAATACATTTGTAATAGAAATGTCACTCCATTTCCATAAGTAAATAAAAGTGGAGAAACAACATAAATATGCATACTTGTTTTTCTTTTTCGTTTTTATGTATTAGTTATTTTATTTCTTTTTCATCGGAAATGAAACCATGTGTAATATTTTGCTGATGCATTACTGTTACAATTTTTTTTTTTTTTTTTTTTTTTTTTTTTTTTTTTTTTTTGTATAAAGCTTTTTCACTTCATCATCTGTTACTGCTCTACAATGTTCTGTGTAAATGACAGCAAAGTCCTGTTACTCGTGGCAGGGAACTGAACAGCCTCTGCAAAAACAAGAGGTGAGAAATTGAAAAAAAAAAAATGGAATAAGTTCCAAAAATCACTTTATTTTAAAACCAATTCAGAGGCCAGGATATGGTAAAGGGAATAATTTGTTTGGCTCTTTTTTTCCACCTCTTGTAGTTTTCACTTCAATGATGGGAAAATGTAGAATATGACAGCTAAACATGTGATGCATTGTTAAAAATTGATGCTGTTTATTATTTATATATTGTGTATGATACACTTGGTTACTTAAAAACCACCTTATGAGAACATTCAAACCTTACAAGGTATTTTACATTATTCAGTTGTTTTTTTGTTCCATACGAGAGAGAAATTGATATGCAACTGAATAAAAAAAATAAAAAAAAGGGATTTGTATGAAGAAAAAAATTCAAAGATCATTTGCTTTGTGAGCAGAGAATTGTACAAGATATTTAAGTATGTTGGAGTGGATGCTATGTGTTTGAGAGTTTTGCGCTAGTGTGAAAGTATGAAAGTGAATATTGCATGCGTTCAGATGCCAGTGTGAACTGTGTACAGCATTAGTAAAACTGTTCCCCTGTCCTGTAACTCCCTCACTACTATCTTTTCTCTTATTTTTCCATGTTCCGTGATGTGTCTGTGGACGATATTGTCACTATTTATTACTATAAGGATGAATCTCCTACCAAGGATTCAACCAGTGATAACTTTATTCTTGCAGATACACTAAGAATAGCTGGCTATTTTTCTTATGTACTGGTGTTGCAGGCAGTTGAGAGTAACGAGAGATGCAGGGCAGTCACTTTAAACTTGTACATTTAGGGTTTTATAAGAAGTGTTTCTTTTATTTAGTATTATTTACATTCATATAATGTTTCCAAGAAGGATAACATTATCAGGATTTACTCTTCTATTAATTAGTTTGATTACATATGATTTTAACCTTAAATTTTCAATGTTTGAAACTGTGTTCGAGAGAGAATCCACAGATACACTTTTAAACGAAGTCTGCCACTGCATAAGCTAGATATTTTCTTATTCTTCTTCTTAATGATAACTGTATGCAAATGTGCTAGTAAGCTGAAACAATTGTTATTTTGTAAAATAATTTTTTTTCCATGTAGATTCCCTTAATTTTGTTTTAACTGCCTGCAGTAAACTTAATATTCATCCCTACACCATTTCCTGCGTCTCTGCTATTATTTCTCTTCTCTCTCTCTCTCTCTCTCTTTTGCAAGGAAATTAATCCTTTTCGTTACTGCCACAACAGGAGTCGTCAGGGCGCAGCATATGTAGATGTTGAAGTTACACATTAACTTCACTGCTAAAGATGTAGGTCTCTCACTTCTCTCTTGCAGGGGAATGTATGATGCTGTATCATTCTTGTAGCAATCTTTCTTTATGTATTTTTTTTATTTTTATTTTTATTATTTTTTTTTATTTCATTATGATATTAAAGTCGGAAGTTTTTATATGTGAACATTGAAGGATTTATATATGAAGTTTAAAAAAGAAACATTGTTGAATAGATATGGAAAATTGCTAAACTGAAAGTTATATGTATTAAGATATTTAGAATGGGAGAAAAGTAAGCAGGGTTATAATAAAACGAACATGTTATGAATGGGAAGGAAAGTGAAGGGTTTCATCTCTCTTAATGTATTGTGCCACCAATATTGTTATCAAACAGGAACACGGAAGAAGTTGGCAATAACACTAAAAGACGTGATGCCCAGTACTCGAAACTATTGAGAATGTAGTCAAAAATACAAAAGGAAACTTCCCATTGTGTAGCAGCTGAAACTCACAGCTAAAGGCTATAAATAAAGAGAAAAGTTTATAAGGTTTATTTTTAACCTTTTTATATCAAGTTTAGGTTTATTATTAATACTAATGCATACAATACCCCCCCCCCCCCAACCCTTGGGAGATCGGCCTGACCTTGACTAATTTTGCATGATCTTTTCTTTTCCTTCTCTTCTTCTGTCCACTTATCCTAACCACTAACTCACTCTTACCTTTTTTGCCACTGCAGCAGAATTTATTTGTTTATTGAAAAATTTCTGCCGTGTCAACCTCTAAGGGTTGACATGGTGATAGGGTTGGGCTTGGGGGGGGGGGGGTAGAGCCCCCAGGTAAGAATGTTTTTTGATTCAGTAAGACGATGTTTGTCGATTTCCAGAATGGTCAGTAGTCTAAACAAAGAAATGGACCAGGTACCAAAGATCACACACCATTATTTTAAAGTGTGGCAAAGACCAGGTACCAAAGATCACACACCATTATTTTAAAGTGTGGCAAAAAGGGTAAAAGTGAGTTAATGGTTAGGATAAATGGACAGCAGAAGAGAAGGAAAAGAAAGGACCATTGCAAATAAGTTGAGGCGAGGGCTGAGGTCCAAGGTAGGAGGGATCCCTATATAGGACCTGTCTCCATCTCCTATGCAGACTTTGTTATGAATGCAATTAAGGTAGATGATATAAAAAGCAACTTGCAGGACAGAAATTTAGATACACAGCATAATCTAATTAAGTTCTCTAGGTTAGAAATATTTTTGAAATGATACATTTCAATGCATTATTTTCTTGCATTTTATTTATTGAAAAAATTCTGATGCATCAACATCTAAGATCACTAGCTGTGCATACAATATATAGAGAGAGGGTGAGACTTGGGAGTGGGGGGGGCAAGGACCCTGAATAAGGAGTCTTTTTTTGGTTCACATGGCAATGATTGTGGATTTCCAGAATAGTCAAAAACATACTAAACTTCAAAAGTCACACAGCATTATGACAGAATTGTGGTAAAGAGTAAAAGTTAATGGGGCTCATCTCTGCCTCCTAACCCCCCCTCCCCCCCCCAACAAGAAACAAGGGATTAGGGGGCTCTCTCAAAAGGTTTCCACATTACTCAATGATGGCTCTCAAGTAGATCCTTAATACCGGTCTCACAGCATGCATTAATTTCAATATTTGTACATATTTTTTTCCATTTTCCTGGTAACTGAACACTGGGTCAGGTCTTATCTAGCTGTTTGCTCATCCATTCCTTAGGGCTTTTCACACATGGATTTCTTTATGTAGTTGCATTAAAAAAAAGTTTCTTATTCTTTACCAGTGTACTGTACGTTTTGTCAGAATTGAGGTTTTTTTACAAATGGAATTTGATACCTTATCTTTCTCACTTTTGATTTCCATTTATAATACTTGTGCATTTTGGTATGAGGTGTGACCCCTTCAGCATTTTTGTAAAATTGCAGGGAGCAAGCTACACTATTTTAACCTAGGGTTACCTGGTTAAAAAATAGCAAATTAAAATTTCCCCACGACTTTGAGGCACTTGCATAGAGACTGGTACCCATTTAAATGTTATACATTTGAAAATTTTTACCTTCAACAGAATGGTTATTGGTTACAAAGTAAAATACATGTGCTAGACAAAAGGTCATGTAACACTATAAAAAGTCATAATAGTGAAAAGGGTAAAGATAGGGGTTAATTGTTGATTAAATGTGCTACATGTGGCTTTCAGGAAGGTAAGGATTATTAGATCAAGGTTTTTAAAGGAATATGTGGGATTTTGCAAAGAGGGTTAAAGAGAAATTCCGCAAGTTTCTGGGAGAAAGAATCCAAGGAAGGGGTTGCCGGTTAATGGATAATGGTTAAAAGCAAAATAAATGTGCTAGACACCTAAATTCATGTAGTACTAGGATGGTATAGAAGAGTGTTTTAGTAGTTAGTTGCTATACTTCAACAGTATAGTAGTATTGTAAAGGTTAAACATGGGTAAAGAATTGTTGGGGAATAGGCTAAGGTAGGATTAAGCAAGGGGAATTAGATCTAGTCAAGGTTATGTATGTCTGAGGAAGGAGAACAGGATGTCAAAGCAGAAAATGAGGGATTCCATGACGATACCTGACAGATTGGGAGGTCGAAGGGAAGATTGGAAGAAAGCAGAGGTACGGGCTGCAGTTAAGTGTGGACAGGACAATGTGTGGAACTGAAGGAACATTACATAGGGGCAGATCAGTATGTGATACCAGATAGGAGGGTGTTTTACAGTATAGTTTATTAGTGTGAATACTTATGATATATTAGGTATAGTGATTTTTTTTTTTCCCCTGCTTCAATATCTAAAGTCATTAACAGCATATTCAAAATTTAGGATAGTGTGAAGCTTGGGTACAAAGCCCCTAGGTAAGGAAGTGCTATATGACAAAGGTTGTATGGCACTATGTTAAAGTATAGTAGTGAAAAGGGTAGACGGGGAGCTGATGGGGCATAGTGCAAGGGAAAAGGTTGCTGGAGGTGAGGTTTGTAGAATTACAAAATATTTAATGATCAATACAAATGTGCCAGAGGTCATATAGCATTAGGACAGTATGGCAATAAGGTAAAAAGGAGTTAAAAATGGTTGGTTGGTTGAAAAGGAAAAGCAAAGACCTTGTAAAATTATTCGGAGCAAGGGCCGAGGACTAAAATGATCCCCTAAATTGGGCACGTCTTCATCTCCCAAGCTCCACAATCATCGTGCAAGGGAGGGGTGGAATCTCTTCACTCCTTCATAGCTTTTAAATGTAATTTACAAGGTTCATCTTTGGCCAAGTAATCAACCAAACTACCATTTCCTGGATATTTGATAGGTTCATTAGGTCAAAGCAGGAAGTATCCATTTAGTCTCCTGCAATTAAGTAAAAATGTTCTTACTGCATGTACTGTATACCAACAATTAGAGTTTGCAGAACTAGGTCAAGCACAAAGATAAATCAGGTTAATACCACTTCACATCAGATGGACATTCAGATTCTGAGCTTACAATGGTTAATGGTTAATAATTAAAAGCAAAATAAATGTGCTAGACATCTAAGGCCATGTAGCACTATAGTAAATGTTAGTAAAGGGTGGTTAAGTTAGTGATTAGTTGTCAAAGCTGGGCAAAGGAATTGGTGAGTGAATGGGTTAAGATCGGGTGAGGTAATGTAAAGGGGTTAGATTAAGTGAGGGATATTTATGCGTTTGAAAGGAAAACAGGTTGTCGAAGCAGAATAGGTTGGGAGGTTGGTGAAGGGAGGACAGTTGGGGGGGAAGCAGAGCTACAGGCTGCTTCAAAACATGTGCATGATACTAGAATGTGCAAGACTCAAAGAGGAACATTACATAAGGAGCATAGGGGTGGATCGGATTGTGACATCAGATAGGGGTGTGTTAGACGGGTGTGGAAGGGGATGCTTGTGATATAAGGGATTTACGTGTATATCCAGGAGATAGTGGAAGGGATAGAGGGGATGGTGAGAGGGTTAATATGGGTGGGGTTGGAGTTGGGGGGGGGGATGGGCTGTGTTGGGAGGAGGTAGGAGGATAGGGTGTAGGGTGGGATATCGCTAGGAGGAAAATGGATATCGGCAGTCACTTGGTGTGTGGAGGGAGCAGGAGTTGATGGGTGTCAGTTTTCATTAAGAAGTCTTGAATATTTTCAAGTTTCTTCAATGGAGTTGGTTGGGGAGTTTTGTGGGATAAAGGACTTCTTGTGAGGGAGGGAAGAGAAGATTGGTGTCTCAAGAGTAGGGGCAAAGGAAGGTGGAGGTGATTGTGTGGTAGGGGAAGAGGGGGTGGAACGTTTGTTTTGTCTCTTGTGGGTAGTGCGGGGAGGGAGGGGGGAAGGTGTTGGGGTTGTAGTGGTGATTGGAGTATCTGTAGTAGAGATTGGAGTTTCTGGATTTAGGATGGCAAAAGAGTTTGACTGGGGAAGGTAGGAGGTAGAAGAGGGGGAGTTAGATGGAGGTTTAGGAGAGGATGTAGGACCTTGGGAGGAGGTAGTGGTACAATGAGCAATATTACTGGAGTAGGGATTAAGAGAAACCTCGTAGACGTGCTTCCTGTCTGGCTTCACGTAGTGTGAGTCCAAGTTTGAATCTGAGAGTTGCTACCTCAGACTCAAATTTGTAGGTGGGGCAGCCCCTATAAAATACATTATGAGGGCCACCACAGTCGGCACATGTGCGTGATTGTGCAGAGCAGTTAGATCGGTTATGGCCAGGTTGGGCACATAGTGGGCATCTGGCTGTGGAACAGCAATGTTTAGCTGAGTGTCTTAGATGCCAACAATTTTGGCACTGATGTGGAGGAGGTTGCTATGGACGAACAGGGAGGGATTCTCCACCTATGTAAACATTAAAGGGAAGGTCATGTCTACGGAAGGTAATTTTGGCTATGTTACTGGGTTTCTTATTATGACCTCTGGGAGGAATGGAGTAGCATTGAACTGATGTCGCATCATAGTCTGAGACAGGCGAGTAAGTCTTCTCCACAATCTGACCAATCTGTCATAGATTGGGCAGTTTGCTGAGGAGATATTAACAGTTCTAGTGCAAGTACTGAGGGTTGGATGGGGTTCTGCAAGGATAGGGTTACCATATAGATCAGTTAGTTTTAATGCTATAGCTTGGTTTTCTGATGTTACTGTGACGAGACGGGAGCAGTCGGGTCAGCTACGGAAAGAGACTTTGCCTACTTGTTTTTAGACATATTGCTGGAAGAGAAGGGGGTTGTCAGAGTAGGGAGCTGTGGGAGGGATCACAAAAAATTGGTCCCATTTGGCTGGGCTAAATAGAGTATTTAAGATTGTTGTAGAGATAGGGGTAGTAGAAGGGCAGGGACGTGTTGTAGAGGGAGTAGTGTTGAGGAAGGTAGTGTTATTGAGAGGTGGGCAATAAGGCTGTAAGGAAGGATGGGGTAGTTGATGTAGACGGTTGTGAAGGTAGGTGTTGGGCATGATGGGAGAGTAGGAATGTTTCTAGGGGGTCGAGTGTTGACTACTGTACTAGTAGGCATTGAGTACGGGGTAGTTGTTGCAGTGTTCGGAGCCGTGGTCAAAGGAGAGCCTGGGGTCAGGGAATCAGGATTTGAATTGTTGGGGCTATTTGATGAAGGGGCAAGCCTCATTGCCCCTAATAGTGGGGTTAGGTTTTCATTATTGGCCATGGTAAGCCAGGAGTATGTTGGGGAGAGAAACAGTCCACCCCTCAGGGTCCCCTCGAGGGGTAAGGGCTAGGCCTAAGCAAGGGAATACCGTGCCCATGGCTCCCTCAGGCCGTTCAGGACTGGCACAAAGTCAGCCTTTCATCCTTTCAGCACGGCTCTCACACCTTAGGAGGTGGATAGTAGGGTTTGGTGCCCCCCCCCCCCCCCCCAACAAAAATGGGCAAGGGATGGGGAGCTTACAATGAAAATATTTGGTCAGGCTTTAATGCCTGCCCATATCAGCAGGCATGATCAACAGATGGAGAGGTCACAAGCAGCCAAACTACTCTTTTACAAGTTGTTTTCTCGCTTGCGAGGTCACCTTTACTATTGTCTGCCTGCGTAGACAGGCCTTAAGTTTGTCCATGCTGTAGAATATGCTTGCAAACTGGAAAGTAGATGGTATTCGCATGCCCACACTGTGGATGGCAGTATCAGAAGTACCAAGTTTATACCCATTTCATCAGTTACAGGCACAAGTAATTTAAAATTCTATTGTGTTCTTTATAATGTGCCTAGCTGCACTAAAGGATGGAGTTTTAGTATGGTAGGACTTTCAATTCCATAGTGAAAATTTATACAATCAGTTTAAATTTGTATTTCACTGCAAAATCAAGGTTCCTGGTGGAAGACTTGTAGATAATACTTATTAGTACCAAACCACTTTCATTATTCAAAATGTGGCAACTTCAGGAAATATGGATCCATTTCCAAGAACATAGAACACAAACTAATGTAAAATAACATTTCCTTTTGGACTTGTATAAATTCATTGATACAAAAATTTGTAAAGGGTAATAAAATTTTGGATACATTCCAGATTTTATTATAAAATATGGATTTAACCGAAGAGACCTGAAAAAAGAGAAAAGCATTGATAAGAAGTGGACCTTGGACAATTATTCTATATTCCATGAATACATTTGTCTATATCATGTATCAAAATAGCAATTCTCTACTTACTGAAGCCCATGTCGTCATCAGATTCCTCAGCCTCTTCTTCCTTCTCTTCCTTCTTGGCTTCGGCAGCAGGTGCTATAAAATTGAAAGCTTTGTTAACAGCATGAAAATACAACCAATAATTATCACTCTCAATAAAGATAATCAGTAAAGGATAAGTTGTAATCAAAGGGTTTCAGGTGAAACACGGTATAGTGCATCATGTAAAACTTAATGTTATACGAATTTAATTGGTTCTCAAAATTTAACTTACCACTGGAAGCAGCAGCAGCTGCAGGAGCAGCAGCACCACCACCACCACCGCTTCCTACACCAGAGCCAACGTTGGCAACAAGAGCCTTGATGTCAAGGCCAGATACAGCCTTGGCAAAAAGACCAGGCCAGTAGGGCTCAACTGTGACACTGGCAGCCTTCAGGATGGTGTTGATCTTCTCCACCTGAAGGAGAGAAAAAAAAAATATTTAGAGGAATATTCAAGAATGCCACATCAACATGCTGCAATGTAATTTTTCAGTTATAAAAAATGGTGTAATCACAGGTTCAGGTGAAACACGGTAAAGCATCATGAAAAATCAAACAATTTTTTGCTCTTAATCCATATTTGAGGATTCCATTAAAATTTTGAATACCCATTTATTATCCCACTGCTTTGAGAAGGCACATTTTTGCCAAGAGGAACATCAACCAAATACCAGTTAAACAGTAATCATGTCTCAAATTTTGTTGTGCACCCTAAATAGGTTGTTTGGCCCTGACTACAAAGAATATGCCTTACAGATTTGGCCTTATGTTTAATATATTCACTTGAGTAGCCAACACTAGCTCGGTATTACAAGGGAAAACCTGTAGTCACAATGAGGCAAGAAATATAAGCTATAAGAATCATGCATGTGAAAGTGCCAACAAAATTTATTTAGATCTCCAAGTTTAGTTTGAGCAAACTAATTTAGACTAGTTCCATCTAATTAAGATGAATGCATTTGATCAGAACTTTGTGCCAACAAACTTTAGACATTAAGAACCACTTGTGTGTATACTGTGGACTTCATCCGAGCAGTGATTTCGTAGTAAAATTCATGCTGCAAAGATTGGCTTTCTTCACCTAGAATAGAAGTTACCCAGTTAATTAATATCTATCAAGGCTACACTTAATACTAGCAACATTAAAAATTGGTCTTCTACTGTAGAGTGGGATAATGCTACAGCTTGCGATGCAAAAATAAAGGGAAATGGGGACAGTGATCTCAGCAGTAGGAATATTCTAACAGGCACACCTACAGCCTCATGTACAACATTACATTTACTGCACATCACTGCAGATTATCCATAGCACAATTACAGCCAATTCTTGTTACGTTTTCTTAACCCCTTAATTAATAATACCAAGTAATGTGCACCAAAGTTTAAAGCTGGGATCTTGCCATAAAAATGAGACTCCTTAGACCGGTCGTTATTGATAGGGATTCACAAAGAGGGAAATGGAAACTGCCTTCTATTAGGTCATATGTGGCAAACAGGTACGGCTGCTCCGGCCTCATTCACCATGAATGCTATCTGATGCACATCACTGTTCTGAGACCAATCCACACCACCTTCACAGCCAAGAGCTCTTAAGGTTTTTTTAAATTTAAGTCAGCACAAAGTGCTAATGAAAGGTGGAGGTTGGGGTGGGGGTTCTCCCTTTCTAGGGGATAAAGTATAGGTTGGAAAGGTTCAGTTTGGATTTTGGGTTCGCATGATAACCCAGGTATTAAGACCTCCATCCTAATACCATGGTAGCAAAGTTCTGCAAGACTAGTTTTGCTGTTCTATGAAGTAACTAATGAAGTATCTACACTCAGTTCAGAAAATATGCACTAATAATAAACAGCCAACCTGGTTGCATTAGCCACAGAAGGTAAAATCTATTCCTTAACCCCCAACATTATCTATCTAGCATAGAATATTGTAGGCATTGAAAATAAAAGACAACAGATTTTTTAAATATCTGTAAAAGATCCTGTCTCGTGTCCACGTTTTGCAAGTTCTGACAAACGGAGTTGTGCACGCAGTACGGTCTGACGGTTTAACGTTAAGGCATTAATATTCAATAGTTTTTTTTGTAATGTTATCCTTTAAATGGTTATTAATCGAAGGGTTTTCCTCGTTCAACGATACAACATAAGCTTACAATCTTGACACTGTTGGTTTTACGAAGGACATTACATACCGGTAAACACTGCGCACTGGCACACAAGACTAATTCATTCATCTAAAACCCATTAGTTCCCAACAATCTACCAGCAAGTAGTTTCCCTCGAAGAAGAATCCCAAAACGAGTCATGTGCTACTGCCCGGCCAGCACAGCGCCCGTGGCCCACATGGGCCGCGCCACCGAGTGTAAACAACGATGGCGCCTTCAAACAAACGCTTATTTTCTCACCGTGATGGGCACCTCATCGTCCATGAGGATGAGGGCGGCGTATACACACGCCAATTCGTCGTTGCTAGCCATGGCGGCGCGGTGTGATTAAGGATGGCCCTGTAACTCGGCGATAAGAAATCACCTTTAACCCAGCGAGGGGAGAAACAGGCAGACGTTCACTGGAAGAGTGAGCGAAAGGAAAGAGCGAAGCCACTTCGCTTTCGGCGCATGCGCGGGGGAGACAAGCGAGCGCTGCCTTGCGTGTCGAAGCCGAAAGAAATTTCATATCATTTTCTTATAAAAATTCGATGTATATAAAGTATTTTGTCATTAAATAAATATGAATCTATTAACTTCAAAAATATGTACGAGCATTTCCTCAGCAACAAATAGCTGTTGGTGACAAGAGTCGCTAGAAAATGTTTTACCTCTTCACACACATCATGTTTTGTAATATTTAGAATAAGGTAACAAACATTAATAGATTTCGACATCAAAACTATAAGAATAAATAATTGTGTTACAATGAATTTTCGATATCTATCACCATTTCCTTAAATAATTGTCAGTCAAGGCGGATAATCTAAATATACATTTTACTGTAGTATATTATATTAACACGTGTTGACACAATATTCCACGTGTCCTATATATGCAATAAAAATAAATCATCATGTATAAATCAAATGCTGAACAGGCCATCACTTTCTGACAGGGAGCCACACCACGTGGTGAGTAATGCCGCATTACATCGTTTGCTTGAAACACGATTTTTTTAACAATGGTAATGTGTACGCTCAAGTTAATGGGTCTACTTTTATCAGTATATTTGTCTATATTTCACTACATATATG